TTGTCATATATAAATAAAAAATTAAATTAAATAAAAATAAAATTAAATAAAAACAAAGAAATCCAAGTTAAAAAAAAGAATAGTTGTAATAGCACATTCCTGTTCTATCTCATATTTGGCTCAAAGGCTGCCTCATTGAAACAAAAATAAACAACTCATAATGATTCTTGATCATTTTTTCAAGAATAATTTCTTTATTATGGAAGATTCTTTCTCAAAATGGCTTAGTGCTTCCAGCTTCATCTCATGTGATGTTCTAATGATTCTAGTGGTATGCCTGGGTTATCTGGGCCCTGTATTAAGGAGAGGCTGGAACAAAATGATAGTGTTGGGTTTGGAAAGTTAGATCCCCAAAGAAGAGTACAGCAGTGATGGGAATGCTCATGGTGGGGACACAGAGCTTCTGGTGTAGAAGGAGGGAACCTGGAAAGAGTGGTGATGGTGGTTTATATGGGTAGGAAATGTGAGGTGCTAAAGAAAGGTTACATGGGAAGAACTGAGTAGGTGGACCATACAATGAAGCAGACCAGATACCCCACCTGAAAGACCCTTGCCATAATTAAGCGTCTCCTCTTGTCAGATCTGCAGGATGTCTGCAGAGGTTATTGTGGTTGGTAGCTTCCTCTTTTTTGTAAATGCCAGGTTTGCACACAATAAAGGTGTGAGTTATTCTACAAGCTTCTTGTGCACAAAGATATTATCTCTGTTTTCTTGGTCTGTGTCTGGTCTAGAGGATGGAACAGAGAGCACTTGTCATGTGAACCTCCAAGCGTCCCACAGCCGCCCTCACTGGGTATAAAATTCAAATGATCTCCAAAATCTTTGTTCAGAGGAAGAATTCTTAGGTGGGAGCCACCTTTGAACCCTGCAGTCAATAAACCTGCTTCCTAAAAATTCCTCAGGTGTCCAGTCTCTTCTGTTCTACTTCCATCAAGGTAGTTTATATGGATCAGAAATGAGAGATGCGAAGAAAAGGTTAAACGGGAAGAGCTGACTACGTGGACCATACAGAGACAAGGACACCAAAACAAACTAAGAAGTGAGAGTCCAAACTGTAGGCGTTTGGGGAACTGCATATTAGAGGAAGTGATTGTGTGGGCTGTGCCATAGAAAGGCGCACACAGCCAGGATAAGGCTGTCTGCAATCAAGGTATATACTTTTGTTCCAGGGTGGTCATTTCTGACTATTGTGTTGTACCTACCTCAGCTGAATTTAAAACAATTTGTGGAAAGAAACCTTTTGCCTCCTAATCTTTAAACCACCTGAAAGAAAGAGATGCCCTCCTATGGTGCATTGAGGTGGATTGTCATTAGAGGCTGGGTAACTGAGTTGAGTGCAAAGCCTCACTGTTTTGGGGGGAAATAATTAGTCTGATTTGGAAATAAGATTGATTTCAGCATTTCCATAAAATTGAAAAAAAAATGAATTCACTTGCCTCTCTTTATGCCTCTTCTCTTTAAACCATGGTTTACAAGAAGCAGTCTTTGACAGTAGAGAGCTCTATCCTACTGATCAATCACAAAGACAGCTAAGTAGGATATCTAATATGGAAATCAGAATATTGTTGAATAGTAATTCCTTTACAAAGAAAATAAGATAATTAACTAACTTTGCCCCTTACAGAGAGACTGCTGGCTGGCCTAAGCTGACAGAATGTTTTTAAAGGAAGCAAAAGTCTGGTCCATAAAAGTTGTGATTGTTCAGCTCCTGTGTTAGGCCTCACAGGAGAATATTCTATCACACCTCACATGCAGCTGAGGAGAATAATAGGCAAGGAAGAATATCCCGGATGGTAATGTTAGAGGCCATTGAGGCCGATGGCCAAGGAGGTCCTTCAAGATCTAAGCAGAGGAACCACAGGAAAGGGCAGGAGTTTTTAAAGTTCCTGAGCAACAGGGTGTCATGACTGGTGTAGATCAGGGACTGCTATGTGTTTCCCATCTTTCTTTTCTGAATGGGAGATTTTAGCAGTTATTCTATTCCCACAGTAACAGTATACACAGGGTCTACACGGTTAGAGCCAGACAACCCGACTGCTTTTATGTCACCAGCACACAGGACAATCTCTGCATTGATGGAAAAGCTCGTTTGAGCCTTTTTGCAGGATTCAAAGACTGGGTAGGACTCTGACAGCACATAGTTATTTTACTATCCAGAAGCACAGACTTAGATGGGAATTGGCACAAATTCCTTTCCAGACCCTACTTGCAGCAAGTCATAGCCAAATAACTGAATTCTCACTAACAGAATGTGAGCTGAAGTGGTGTGTGCAACTTACACATCACTTAACACTGTACCTCATGAATATGTATAATTAATACATGTTAATAAAAATATTTAAGGCAATGGAAATATAACTACCCTGATTTGATCATTACACATTATATGCATTTATTGAATTATGATTATGTACCATTAAATATATGTAATTAAAATAATAATAAAAAGAAAAGAATGTTGCTTTCCTTTCGTCTCTGTTTCTCCATGGGCAGGAACTGGTATGGCAGTGACCTAGCTTGAACCATGAAGATGAAGATGGTTGAAAATATCACAGAAAGATTCTGGCTCTTGAAATGATAGCAGTTATGCTACCAACCTGGACTTCTGCTTCTCCTAATTGTTAGGTCAGTGAGAAATAAACTTCTATAGGTTGAGCACCCTAACCTGACAATCTAAAATTCAAAATGCTCCAAAATCCGAAACTTTCTGAGTTTCAGATGCCACATGCTGCCACAAGTGGAAAAGTTGATGCTACAAAACTTTTTGTGTCATGCACAAAATTATAAAAACTATTATGTGATTATCTGTTATTCTTGTCTAAGTTATATATGAAATATAAATGGATTTCATGCTTAGACTTGGGTTCCATTTCGAAGATATCTTACTCAATACATGCAAATATTTAAAAATCCCCAAACACCTAAAATCAAAAACACTTCTGGTCTCAAGCATTTCAGATAGTAGAGGCTACTCTACCTCTATTTAAGCTTCTGTTACTTTGGGTCCCTTTGTTATAGCAAATACATTCTCCTTTATCCCAATGCATGGAAGCATGATTATTCTTTGATACAAGGATAAATATGATATTACCTATAGAATAATTTGAATTTGAAATTTCAGTGCTAAGTAGCCTAAAGTCACATTTCTAAACATTATACATTCTTAGGTCAGCAGGAGTTTTAAATCTGGGTTCTATTACCACACCTAAAAAATCACACATATAAAAGCACAATATATACATATGAAAGTCTAATTTTTATCACTAAATCAAAAGTAGCCCTGAATGAATTAAAACACTGTCCAAAATTGTAGCAAATTTACATCCTTCAGTATTAAAAAGTGACAGTCTTAAAATACAGTTTCCTTTTGATTAGATTAACACCTTAGCTCAAAGGGAAATGAGTTGATTAGTGTTAGAAGGATGCTCTGGTACCTTGGTTAGTGTTACTTTTAGTTAAAAGGATTTGTATTCTATAAGGAGTGGGGGTGGCTAACTATATTTTCATGGCTATCATCAAATATTCTTACTAAAAACTAGTCTTTTGCTCAATATTTTCACAAAGAGAAAGAATTTAACAATGGTCCCAATAAAATTAATTACTTTGGATGTCCCAAGGAGTGTGTTTTTTTTTCTTTTTTTTTATTGGTTGTTCAAAACATTACAAAGCTCTTGACATATTTCGTACATTAGATTCAAGTGGGTTATGAACTCCCATTTTTACCCCAAATACAGATTGCAGAATCATATCGATTACACATCCACATTTTTACATAATGCCAAGGGGTGTGTTTTAACTTGTGCTGCTATCATGTACACTGTGGTCTTCATCCAGAGCTAGATGACACATAGACTCTGTCAACAGAGTTTCATTATAAAAAACACCATTAAACTCCATCAGGCACCAGTTGTACACAACACAAAAGCACTGGTGTTCAGTGTTTGACTTCTTAAAGTTTTCCAAAAAAGCAATCTGATAAACTACTAGAGACCTACCTTTCCCTCTGACTAAGTATATCCAAACAAGTATTTACTCCATATAATAAGAAATTGTAGATGTTCCCTTTTTAGAGAGATCCTGGGGACTGTTATTACCACTGGGCCTCGATAAGACTGAAGTGGAACATCCTACTTCATTTTTATTTCTCATAGTGTAGTGAAGAATAGGGGGGTTCATGAGCAGTTTGGATGTGATCGGACAGAAGAAAGGAGATTTGCACTCTATAGTGTAACAATGTTAAAATAAAAAGCTCAGAGGAGTAATAGCATAGTGTAGGAGGCATATTCAGTAATTACAATAGAACCCTGAAAGAAAGCATTGCCACATTGTCATGTGTGGTCCCATTTATTTCATTATAAATGCAGAGGATAAACAGCCCAGTAGGGACAGTCGGTGTGTCTTATGTGAGTTACATTGGAAAATTGTGTCTCAGACATTTTCAAAGCTCAAAATATTCTGCTTGTTCTTGAAAGTGGGCATGCCAGTCTAACTAGGAAGATAAACATCCTGAACTTCCTWTCACTGTACACTTTTACAGCTTGTTCAAAGTATAAATAAAAAGACCAGAAGGCACATATTCTCTTGCCCCTGTGTATTTCAAAGGACCATTTTTCAAGTCATTCAAAAGAAGGCTGATTTTGATAGAGCTAAGTATCAAAAAATGTTGATGACCGGGCAAAGGACTGGCGTGAGCCTTACAAGTTGACCATGTCAGGTCAGAATTTTCTGGTGTTGTTTATTTGGAGCGGCATGATTTGACCTGCAGGAGAGCTATCTGAAACCTTGTAATAAAAATCTTTTCTGTSATGGGGCTCTACAATATTGGCTTTAAGATCAAATGTCAGTGTTCTTTGATCTTTGTTGCTCAGATGTTCTCATTATGTGGAACAGAATTCAGCAGGTGTTTGATTGTTTACCCAATAAAGGGGAAGGTGAGCTGGGATTAAATTGTTAGGACACAGCTTTGTTTTAGGTGCTCTGACGGGCTGAATTTGGAATAATTGTGTTGCTGCAATAGCAATCTTGCTAAGTACAATAGGACATGGAAAAGCTTGGCTCAGAAACTAATGGACTGCAGCTACCATCTGTGGGATTGAAACTAAAYGCCTCTAAAAGAAATACTCATAAATGTAACTAGCCATCTTGTTGATTAGCYTTCTGGTGGACTGGATTCCAGTTGCCTAATGGACTGCACGACCTCTCTCTCTGGAAGCCAGTAGTAAGTAGATAAACAATTTGTTTCTGAATAAGCATTTGCCCTATAAATTCCAATATAGTCAAAACCCCTTCGAAAGAAGGCACAATCAAATGATGTAATATGTAGAAAATTATATCAACACTTTGCAAACTGTAAATTAAAATAGAAAAACATAAGTTCTTGTGCCAGTATTTATAAGGTCATTCTTTTTYGATTCAACACATTCAGCCAATATTCTTCTATCCTATTCTGTTTGGTTGGGTTAATTGTATGCTGACAATTCTAAATTTACTTTCCTTGACTTATTCAAGATAAAATTTCAGTTTCAATTCTCAACACTAGTGTGCAATTTTCTTTACTAGTGCATGCTTGTGTTCTTTCTTTCTTTTTTTTTTTTAAGGGAATAAAGATTTATGAGGATTTGAATCTCACTGGAAGATGGTGGAAACTTGTGTCTTTTAATGTACCTGTACATACACTTCTCTAAGAATGCACTACTATTAACACATATTTATTCKTTTTTACTTTGACTCCACAATTTACTTCTACCTTCCTTCCTCCCTCCCTTCTTTTCTTCCTTYCTTTCTTTCTTCCTTCTTTCTTTCTAATACTGCAGACTGAACCCAGGGGCACTTAACTTAGCAGGGGCTTGCTAAGTTACTAATGCTGGTCTCAAACTTGTGATCCTCCTGCCTCAGCCTCCTGAATTGTTAGGATTACAGGCATGCGACCTAGCAGTACTACACAATTTTAAACGTTTGAGGACACCATTCTACATGGACATTTAGCCACAGATAAAATTTTAGGTGATTAGGAATATTTCTGTTGCTGCCCGAACTAAGCACAAACTGGTTTTTATAAAGAAGGAAGAGTTTGGATCCCCAGGCAACTTACAAATTTACTTTTCTCATCTTTCTTCTCAGAATCACATCTTGTAGCCCAGGGAAATCCAGAGACTATAATGGATTTGCTGAGAGTTTGTCAGGCTGGAGGGTCAGCAGTGCCAACTCTGTTCTCTGCACCCACACACTTTCTCTTCCTGTAGTCCACTCTCCCAGTGTAGGTGCAATCTTGAGTGCACCCTTAGCCAGTCAGTTCCTTCCGTTTGGGAGGGAGGTAAAAATTCAGCCTCATAGAGCCTTCACTGCAAGGACTTCAGCCTGTGCTTTGAATTGTGATAGCAAACCTTTTGCCTAGTGTTGATTTATTGGTTTCCAATTGTGTTAACTGAATCTGTTTGGAGATCTGCCTAATGACATGCATGCTCTCTGGTTTGCCTAATACTAGCTGTCATAGCGATTGAATCCCAGCTCACCTAAACCCAGTCTCTCCAGTCTCTTTCCTCTCTTGTGATTCTACCAGGAACTGAAATCTTGTCTCTGACCCCAGCCATGGTTGGAACCCTCCACATCTGCTTGAATATTACCAGTTGCTCTATTTTACTTGTTTATTCATATATCCCTTTATTACCCTGATAACCTTGGTAGTGAGAACGTTTTCATTGCTGCCATTCAGATACTGGCTCCATCTTCTGGTTTAGACTTTCTTAGAATACTAGTAGCTGGTAGATATCCTCCTGTATGCTCCATGCTGGTAGGGAAGTGCCAGTTCCTGGTCTGAGTCCTCCTACTTCAATACAGGTAGCTGAATAATCTTCAGTAATCCCCTTTAAATAACCATATGTTGAAATGTTGACATTCTATTGGAATTCCATTATACTCCCAAATATCTTAAATGTTGTCTGTTTGTATATTTTCATTGATATACTTTTCTGTCTGACTCACCTATTGAAAAATTCTGTCCCCTCTGCAGAGTAAAATCTGCCTGATACTTACCTTCATTTTCATGTTAACAAGGCAGATTCCCATCACACCATATTGGTAGAGAGATCACATTTTTGCTCTGGTCYATCATTATCTTTCATTTTAATCTAGTTTACTCTTCCATGCTTAGGCAGGTATGACRGAGGTGTCACTATGGCAAAACTATGAGACTAGTTCCAAATGTAAGTAATTTCCACCTGTGTTCTTCTATTTCAAGTTCCTGATCCCTCTTTTCCTCTTTTTTTAATTCTATCAGATTAAGAACTCATATAATATGAGCCATAGACATTTTATTATCAGTACTTAAGATAATCCTGCAATTTGAGTCAAGTTAGACTCATTTTGCAGATTTGGACTCTAGGATCTGGAAAGATCAAGATTATTTTGGTGTTCTTGGGTGTTCAGGCCCTTCCACATGGGCAAAAAAAAAATGAACAGGCAGGAATTACCTAGGGGAATGGGGAAGCAAGAGGGTCATGGGGGTTCAGTAGGGAGCAGGATCATGAGTGTTGATGCCAGGGAGTTTTAGTTCCTGGGCAAGTGGACAGGAGCAAAGGCAAATTCAGATGTCAGAGGTTTGGCTTTTGAGTGGTAGTCTATTAAGGAATGATGGAGTATAAGAAGATGGAGATATCTGTGTATTACAGGCCATGTTTGGAGTTGTTCATCTCTTGGCCAACTCTACTACCATGTGACTAGAGATATCTATGATCAATTGTTGCTGCCTGCCCTGGGAGGTGGTGGAGAGGACGGGGGAGTAGAAGCATGCTTATTTTCGGATACTTTTCACCTTTGTTTCAGGTCAAATTATTCAGTTGGCACTTTTTATAAGTAAAAGGGCTTATAAAAGAGACAAAAACTGGCAAAACTTGGACTGCATGTATTAAAGCAATATCAATTGTAAATGTGACTTGCTTACTACCTTTGACTAAAGCCTTTGGGCAGCTTACAGGGTCCTACAACTCAGACAACCCGAGGTCACTATCTCTGAACTAGTCTCTTGCCATTCTGCTTTTCCCTCATCTMCTCCATCTGGTCTCCTCACTTGAGGAAGAAACATAGCAAGTTCCTGTCTCACRTATTTGATGGTCCTGTTTCCTTTTTCTGAGATGCACTTTGGCTGGGGGTAGGTGGGCTTTGCTTCCTGCAACCTCTGTTGAATGTCAGCTCACAAGAAAAATCTCCCATGACTGCTGTAAAGAACGCAGCTCCTCTCTCTCTTCCCAGGSCCTTGGCACTGTCTATCCTCTTGACTTTGCCTTGTCCTTTCCCTTGAGGAACAAATTTATGTTAATTATTTTGTAGTACGATATCTCTTACGTTTAACACTGATGTGTTTATTATATATCGTATTTTATCATGATACTAAATTTTGATAATGACTACTTTATCTCGTGACTAAATATTAAGTGCCTTTTCTTCAACCCCTCCCCCAATTTTAAGTGGTGTGCAGTGATATAAATAATAGGATATAAATAAAAAGGAAAAAAATAAGCTAGTAAAGTGAAGCTTGTGGTAGAATTATACGACAAAAACATGATTCTTTTGTTCATCAAACCAGTGGACTCTAGTCAAACCTTGGGGGGGAGGGGAGGAAAGAAAAGAAAGAGTAAATACAAGCACATTATTCTTTAGTTCCACCAGGCCACTGGAGAAAAATCTGAGTTTAAATACAAGTCTTCCTAGATGTATAATAAGGGAAATTACCTAATTTCTCAGATTCTGACTTTGCATGTTTGTCAAATGGATATCATCAGAGTGTTGACCTCATGTCTCTGATGCAGATCAGATGAGAACACAGTGTGCAAGTAGGTCCTCAGCTCAATCCGGAATGGAGGGGCACTGCTGTGGGAGGTTGAAAGCAGGGCAAGGGGTGCTGTGTACAGCTCAGCCACAGTCCACACCACTTGCTTTTTAGGTCTGCCCTTGAAGCAACAAACCACTATGTGAAGATGCAGAGTTCATGAAAGGACCCATTCTACCATCCACTCAAGTGACCTTCTATATTTTTTAAAGGAAAATTCCCTAAACACTGTCCCTTTCAAATCTCTTCTAAATACAAATGTCATGTGTTAAATGGGGCTCAGGCTTGGTGTGAGATGGGATGACAAACACACCCAACATTTATAGACGAGGTGGAGGTAAAGCTTTCATAGAGTTCCCCTAATTTGCTATGTTTTTGCCCTGGTGTTCCAACAGGAACTGCTTTTAGAAATGAATGAGCTAGTCTGGGAGGACGATACTGTAAATAACAGCTACCAAGAAAAAAATCCTGAAGAAAATTAATTTTCAGTGGAATGGAGAGGGAAAACAGGACTGGGCTTCTCCTGCTTGTGATTTATAACATGTCCCGTCTTAACTCACAATAATGAATCACTGACTTTTCTTGTATAGAGTTTATTCCCTGGGTTTGACTCTGCATATAAGTATATGCAAGGACAGGAATCCTTCTCTTGCTGAAATTCCTCTATGCTATGCAKCAGCATCCTGTTCTTTCCAATATTAAAAAAAAAAGTCTTTTAAAAAAATTACTCTAAAGAGATCTTCTTTCCCACTCTGTTCCTGTTTTCTCAGAATTCTCAACTGAGGTGCACCAAAAGTCAAGTTTCCAACAACTGGATTAGAATGTATTCATAGAATATATTCATATTTTTTTAAAATTAAATGAATTATTATTATTATTATTATTATTATTATTTGCAGTAGAAGGGACCAAACCCAGGGGCACTCTGTCACTGAGTTTTAACCCAGTCCTTCTTAAATATATATATTTTTTGAGACAGGATTTTACTAAGTTGCTGCATTTGGCCTCCAATTTGTGTTCCTCCTGTCTCAGCCTCCTGAAGCACTGGGATTATAGATGTGCGCCACCATGCCCAGCTACTCATATTATTTTAAAGAACATTTAAAGGTAAAAAATGTCTAGTGATAAAAAATCTATTATGGTCAAAAGTAGAATGTATTTTGTAGCTGTGTTAAGTTGCAAAAGTGCATTTTAATGGATAATAAATAGTACAACTACCTTAATAATATGGTCATGTAATGGCTATTGAGTAATCACATTTACCTGGAATTACATTAACTTATATTTGTGTTTCCACTTATTTCTTGTATCCTGGCTTGCTCAAAGTTAACCCCGTCTTAGAAAAGTTTCCACAGACCTTGTTTCCAAATCTGGTGGTTACACTCTCAATACTCATATTATTTTGTGTCTTGGCAGCATGTGGCACTACTGACTATTCATTTCTTTCTTTTAAAACATGTTATTCCACTAGTCATCTCGATAACAATGCTCTTCACATTTTCGTACTGTGGCTTTTCCTTCTCAATGCCCTTTGACATTCCTCTTCTTCACCCTCTACCTTATAAAGGAATTTCCTCTGCTCTAGCTCTATCTTTTCCCACTTTAAGCTCTGCTTAAGTAACTTGCCTATGTCCATTGCTGCTCCAATTACTGTTACTTGTATCTTCAGCTAAGATTGCTCTACTAAACTTGGAGCTGCTCAGGTAATATATAAGGTTTTCTGTATTTAGATAAAAAGGGTGCCTCAATATTTCACCTGCCTCATTGGAATGCATGTTTCCCACTTCTGGCCTCTTTCTTCTGCATCCTTTCCTTCAGTGACCATGGTGAGTGTCCACCCCATTTTCCAAGTCAGGATTACAGATATGATCAAGGTCTCCAAGGGTAATGCCATCTATCTGTCTTCTCCCTATTCCCATTATGAAACCTGAATTCAGCTTGCTGTTACATTCATCCTAGATTTCAACATCAGCCTAACTTCCCTTCTTTCCCCCTGTCTTATTTCCATCTAATCAATCTTTCACCTTGTACCAACACTGGTCCTTCTAATACACAAATTAGATTAAAATACTCAAGTTTAAAATCATTTAGTGGCTTCCCAGTGCAGAATGGTAGTTGCCAGGGTTTAGGAATGGTGGTGGAGGAATGGAAGATGTTACTCAAAGAGTACAAAGTTTCAGGTAGAAGGAATAAGTTCAGGAGATTCATAGTAACAGCAGGGCGATGATGGTTAATAATCATATGTTACATACTTGAAAACTGCTAAAAAAGAAGATCTTAACTCTTCTCACAACAAAACAAATATGAGGTGATAGAGATGTTGATTAACTTGGTTTGATCATTTCATAATACATACATGTGAACCACAAGTATACACAATTTTTGCCAACTAATTAAATTAAAAACCATTAGACAACTTCTAATTATCCTGGCCATAAAGAGCAAAGTCCAGTCTATAAAGCCTCAATGGACTGGTCTCTGTCTTTCCAGCAAGACTTCTTGATACATTTCCTTTGCTTTTCCTCAGTTAGGTCCTCTTGTCCCTGTMCTTTCCTTACTCCTCTCTTACCTGGTTTAATCCTTTGCATCTGTCAGTTGAGCTGTCAATTCCTCCAGGAAGCCTTCCTGAAGTGAGGTGCTTCTCCTGTGCTAACCCATAGCAACTGAACCCTCCCTCCATGTCTGGTCCCACCTGCCT